CTTGTTCCAAATATATCTGTTTTGGATGGGACAAAACAGTGTAGGCAATTAATATCTCAAACTTACAGATGTTCCAATACAAGCATCAGAAATGCCTCCAAATTTCAACTGTAATTTTCTTTACCCAGAAATCACCTTGTCCTAAAACAGCAGTTGTGCTGTACTGCCACGAGCAAGTACTGTTTTTAAGAAGAAAGGCTTTCCACTAGTCCAGCATTAACCAGTGCTATAAAAGCCTCACAAGTAAAACCAAGTGAGCAAGACTTAGTTGGGACTAGTGTTGCCAATAGGCCATACAACAATGACAATCAATATAGGGTAAGTAGCATAAAGCTGTTTCAATGTGTTATACAAGTTATTGTTTTTTACATTTACAAGCATCAGATGATACACAAAGTTCAGGTAGGGGGAAGGGGAAAATGGTATTGGAACATCTGTACTAAAAATAAAAGTTAAAAAGAAACTGTTTTGGACAAATTCTCAGACAAAGCCCTGAATGTACAGACTTCACTTTGGAATCACTGCTTTGTGCTGCCTACATCGTCAGCTTAGGCTGCATGACGGAGGAAAAAAAGAGAAACCCAAAACAACTCCACCACTGGTTATTAAGAGACTGGTCACAAAAGAATGATGAGGATAGTCGACTCTGTCATCACTGCGAACAGCCCCAGAGCTATTCACGGCTTTTATGTTTGTGTGAGCATGCGTTTGTGTCCGTGCTGCCCAGCCTGCAACAGACGGTCCCTGTCCAGATCCAGCAAAGTGTAAAATCAATCTATTAACATGCACAATCACAACAAGCTTCCCATCTTCTCAGAATGAGATACATCACAGTGTCACAATGGATAATTGCACACGGATGACAAATGCCAATGTATGTGTCATAATTTAGATTACAGCTTTTCATTGAGGACCCAAGCACCTCAGCAGTGCATTGATCCACTGATCCACGACCAGGAATTTGACCCCATCTCCACTGTGGTGCCACTTTGCTGTCTTATATGCAGATAATACTCAAACAAACCAACTCCATACCTCAGATTGATGCCCTAATTTCTCTCTCACCTGATTTTGAACCTGATGTATTTCTCGTTCAAAGACATTTGTGACGCAACTGTTTTGCTATACTCACTATTTAAGGTCACGTGGCTTTAATATGTTATGCTTGCTAGATAATAAAAAATGATGGGTCGCTGTCATCATCATCACAGAATCCAACTACTGCTAAGCCCTATAAGCTACCTCCATTTACTAGAGTAGAATTGACAAATGGATTAATGATGTAATCATCCAAATGACACAAACACCACACAAAAGCTGTGTCCGTCCTCCCTATGCAGATTGTGACGCTACGTGTGCTCTATATGATCAGAAACATGAGGCCGAATGTATCAGTGTGCACAGAGTTCCAGTACCAGGAATGCATTTAACATCCCATCGCAGGGTTTCCACATTTTTTTATACTCCCATTGTTTGATAAAATAAAAAAGGAATTCAGTTTACAGTACAAACAGCCGTCACTAATGAACTTCTTAACAGCTTTAATCAGCAGAAGTACACTCACATGCATTTCTGGTGGAGGAACATAGTGCAATATGTATTCACAAGATGTTTGTACAGCTACACAATCTCTATTTGACTCAGAACTTTCTTTCATCCAGTGTTTGAGCTACACAATGATGCCAGGAAAACTCCACTTTAGGAAAAGTTATGGCCCAGGAACTAGACTGAAAAAACAGGCTGAGTTTGAATGAGGGATACTTACATTACATATGATAATATTTACACTGTTGCCTGGCAGAATGTTTGAAATATTCATTAGAGCAAAAGAGTGGATTCAGCTGAAGAGAACGTATCGCGTTGTGGTACCATGACGTGCATGTAATTAGTTTAACTGATGCATTCGCCCAATTAAAGCTCGAATTACAGCCACACGGATACATGGGCCTTTGTCAACCAATCACATAGCAGGAAGTAGTCACAATCTCCCCCTCTGAGTTAAGAATGGCTAGAAACACAGTTCTAAAGAACATTATGATGTCACAGTGAAGTTGACCATTGACCATTTGAGTATAAAATGTCATAATTTAAACATCCATCCAATCAGACATTTGTGTGGCAATGTGTTAATTTTAGCATATAAATTATTGACTCCAGGCCAAAAATGTTATATACAGACACAAATGTAGTCTGGCTTTTATGTAGTGTTCTAAAATTTGAATAGACATAAATAATTTATCTTATTCTATGTTGTTTTACTGAAATTTTAGTGTTGATTATGCATATTCAATTATCTTAACTTTCTTTTATTGTTGTCTTTTCTATTATCGATTGCTCTGGTAAGAATTTATCTCTAAATCCATGTTTGTATCCTATGTTTTGTCAATCACCTGTAAAGCACTTTTAATTGGATTTGAATTGTTTGAAAGGTGCTATATAAATAATGTTTGATTGATTGAAAACAAACTTAATTTGTAATTCTACAGTGAACTTGAACTTCCGAACAACCTCCAGGTGTCACTGCAAGGAGTCATACAAGCCATAGTTGGATACCTTGATTGCATGTATATAAAACCAATGTATAGTTGTTGTCTGCTCCTTCAGTGATATGTTAGGTGGACGTCCACATCCACAGTGGTCACATCAGCTGGCCTGCAGCATTACAAACACAAAAACGCTGGTGGTTGACAGTGACTTCACACACCCATGTTCACCATTTAGAAATCTAAATTGATTCACCTCTGAGCAGCCACTGTGATGCACTGACTAAACAACGAACAGCATCTCAACCAATTCTTCATCAGTGAAAACCGTCGACAGTATAAGGTCTGTGAGTTACCCAGAATCCTTTTTCACAACCTCAAACACCATCAACAACATTCATTTAAAAAACATCTTATGGCAAAGCCACAGTAAAATGCAAAAGTACAAAACCCGGCCATGTGGAAATAATTGTCAGTAATTAAAGCAGCAGGGATGTCTACATCTTTTTCAGTGACATGTTCAAGGCCATACTGTGTATGATTGGTTTAGGTCAAACAATAGTCGTTCTTTAATGAAAAACATCTGTGGCGGAAGGACTGAAGGACAGACCAGTAATGTAACAGCCACATCTTTTATAATCCGAAAAGAGACTTCAAATATTAATCAAATCTTGTTTTATTATGTGGACCTTTTACAGAGAGACTTAAATCACTGATGAATCTGAAATGACAGGTTTGAGTCACTCAGAGCAGAGGTGTTACTCTATGTTCTATGAGGAAATATGAAGGCAAACTATTCCAGGCAGGATCTTAGACAGCACAGCTGCACTTTTACATACTTTAAAAAAAGGCTTTACTTCCCTGATAATATTTTGGGGTTGGCCTTATTTGGAAGAACACTAAGTCACTGACAACTGACAACAGACAACACAAGATGACAAGGTGTGTGCAGGTTTCATTGCTGTGTCCGTCTACAGACACATCCCCGAGGAAATTATCAGTTTTATAAATAATAATAATGATAAACTCCAAATGGAAACCCATTTTGTTACGAAAACTCTTGAAAGTCATTATTATGAGAAACTTACACAAAAGAATGACTTCCAAAATCAAAATAACAAGCTACTGACAAAAAAGACATATGTCAAAAATAATGACTTAGTATCTCAAAATAATGACCTAGGAATTTAAAATAATGACCTAGGAATTTAAAATAATGACCTAGGAATTTAAAATAATGACTGCCTTAACTTAAAATAACAATTTAATACGATAAGACATGAACTTACTAACTAAATAATGAGTAACTAGCTTAAATGAATGCCCTACTATCGTGACAATAATGACATAGTTTTTAAAAATAATGACGTGCTAACTCAAAATGACTTAATATCTCAAAATAATGACTGCCTAGCTTAAAGTAACGATTTATTAAGATAAAATAAACATATTAACATAAAAAAATGAGTAACTAGCTTAAAGGAATGACCAACTATCTCAAAAATAATGACTTCGTTTTTAAAAAATAATGACAGTTTATCAAAATAATGACTTACTATCTCAAGATAACGAGTTACTATTTCAAAATAATAAGTAACTAACTCAAAATGACTTAGGAGCTCAATATAATGACTTAAAAAATGATGACGCACTAAATCCAAAACTTTCTGTTTCATCATTTTGACTTTTTATTGTCATAGGAATCTTTTTAGGGGGGCTTCCACGTGAATGTGTAACTTCTGATCGAGGCTCTTCTCCTCTGTGTTTTCACGCAGACACAGGAGAGGAGGGCACATGAGGTAGACAACCCGGGACTTGTTCACACATGGTCATTAAACAGGAGGGAAACAAAGAGGGACTCCAGCTCACATACCTGCCCGCACTGTTAGCTCACCGCTAACAGCTCAAACTGCCCCGAACACACGAACCCGTGTTTTTATTAAGGCTGGTTAGCTTTAGCTCCTGAAGTCAAACCGGAGACACGCCGAGCTCATCTCAGCAGCAGGAGTGAGGATGGTGAGAGCAGTGAAAACACTCACGCAAACAAGTTCAACACACGTGACTGTTTCAAATTAAACCTCAGAATGAAACTCGACCACAGCGGAAATCTAACCTGAGAGAAAAACACTTTCCGGCGAGCAAATCAACGATTTGAGTGTTTTTTCTCGCTCTTAACTAACCTTCCGCTTTTAGAACACAGTTCCAGCTACTTTAGGCTTCCACACGTTGAGGGTATTTGAATATTAAATGAACTTTGAGCGTCTTACCTGCTGGGTGTGGGTCACATCCCGCGGACAGATCTACGGGCGCAACTGGAGGTGGAGGTGCGGTGCGGAGGAGAGAGTGCTGCGGTCCCCGCGCTCCTGCTGTGCTGCTGCCGCGCGGAGCGAGCACGCAACACCTCCATCTGTCACACGTGGACGCGCACGTTGCAGCGCTGTGGTTGTACTTTGAATGTGAAAATCATCAAACCGTGGTTCACGTGAAAGACAAAAGAACAGTGAGCGCACGCGTGGATTCATTGTACTGTTTTTTTTATTGCATGGATTGTAATAGCTGCAGAGAAACAACGTTTCAGATGAGTACAGTTGGGTTTGAAGTCTTCCTACAGTGAAGAAGAAATGGTCAGTGGACATTCAGGTGGTGCTGCTAACTTTACCTTTCTCCTAGTCCTGCCTACCACAAGACCAGCCTTTATATACTGCATTTAGACCGCAGCTGTAGCACTGGGGGATGATGGGAAGGGGCACGGAACCTTAACATTTCAACACCATCGTAATGGGCTGCAAGTCTAATGTGCTTCACTGTCTTAAAACACGGGACATGATGGACACTGTGCAGCTGCAGCAGCCATTGAAGTGATCATCAGGTGGGTAGTTATTGCTGGCTACCAGTTTTCACTGTGGGTGGTTCTTGTCATGTCTGGGACAAAAGGTAAAGATGGACAGGGGGTTGCACTGTGCTTTGGTGTGTCACTCCCTCCAGCAAGCACCCAGCTTATTGGGTTCTCTATGTGCAGCTGTCCGATCACTTTAAATCTATCAGGGTATTATCAGAAAGAAACGATGCAGAGATAAACCCGTCCAAATGCAGTATACAAGCCCAAACTCTGTGTGGATCAAGACTCAAGAGCAATGACTCCATCTACAGGATAGGTGTTGTAACTGCAATGACAGAAGGGGGTCGACATTTTGAATGTATTTGTGTTGCTGTGACAGTTTATAAAATAAAATTAAAATTAAAAAAAAACAACAATCCGCTCCCTTTTGAAGTAAGTAGACCAGCCACAGATTAAAAATACAATTGTCACTGTAGGACAAAGTGGTCTCTCTCAAGCTTTTCAAAGTAACTTGGTCACTCAACTGTCACGGAAGAAAAATCAAACGAAAAACAACCCAATTAAATAAAAAGGTGGTATTTTGACTGTACCTGAATATACCAGTTTCCAGCCCACCTCCCCAAATATATCCTATTTCAAATATAGGACTCAAAAAGATATGGGCTCTAATGTTAATAATACATTTATCCATACTATGTTCATATAATTAATAAAAAAATAAATACATTTAACAAATACAAATGATTTTTGTAGTCGGCAAATTGCCGAAGGAACAGATCATCATCCACAGTTGTATTTTTAACACAATTTTTTTTTTTTTCAAGTGTAGGATTTTTCAATAAAACCATTTTCACCCCCATATGGATTTAAACCTGTTGTCTTAAAGCCTCTACACTGGTGTGACTGTGCTATTGAGACGAGATGATGATCTCTCAACCAGTCATCTTTAGGGCTGTATGCGAGCACTGGCTCACCCAAGGCTAAATTCTTTTTAACACTGTAGCACACTCACAGAGAGCAACCGAGAATAAAAGTAGATGCTGATGATTCATGTTGGCAATGGGACCCGAACCAGCTCTCGGCTTTGGCCGAAAAGCTGCAGGCGCAAGATGTGCATGTTTACATGTCTTCAATCGGTATATCTTGTAAAAACGTCATAATAAACAATCTTTTCTTACTTGTATTTTTCAAACTTTTTTTTTTTCTGGTGCGTTTTTGTACAAATCCTTGTATAACCTGTTTAGACAAAACAGATTAAACCCACAGAAAAATCAACCAACAAAAAGAAATTCTCATGCATAAGTTATGTCTCACTCTCACTGATTGCATTTGTTACCATCTTTAAAAAAATCTGTGTACATATTTTTCTGTTGTTAAACATAACATTTCTGTTTTTGATACATTTTAAGCCATTTGCGTTTTTTTTGGGGGGATAAAATTTTTTATCCTATTTTTCCAGCCAGTAGCTCCAGGTTTCACTCCAGAGTATATTCCATACAAACAACCTCTCTACTCCTGGACAGCAGGAGGCGCAAGAGGCATGTTATGTTGGTGCTGACTGAGGGAAAGAAAACTGCTCCTTAAAAGAAGCTGTAGGGAAGCAAATGAACATTTATCCTTTGCGATTTCAGTTCAGGTCCAAGAAATTAAACCCCATTTCCTATAACGATTCTTTTTTTTTTGTTCTTATTTTTTCTGCTAGAAATAGTTGCTTGTCATCTCAAAAAGCTTGATAGAGACAGACGCTGAAGAGGTTATAATACTACTAACAACCTCCTGAGGCTGGAGTCTGGCAGCAGAAGTGGGACATGACAGGCAGTCAGTTTGCAGACGAGGACGGGGGGACTGGGGAGGGCCAGGCGAGGTCACCCCTATCTGCAGAGATCGTCTTGTGTAGAGTCCCGGACATTTTTCCTCTTCTTGCTGTTGCCCTGGTGATGTGGCTTGTTGCTCGGATGACTTTTGGTGCTGGAGGAGGAGCTCTGCTGCCCGTGGTGGCCACTCTTGTGGTGGGAGCGAGACATCCTGGCCTGGGGTCAGAGCACAAAAACCAGATCAGTATGTCTGCAAGATTACGGTATTAAATACTGTATAGACTGAAAGTTAGCTATTTATTTAACATGGAAAAAAACACCCAATGTGTTCAAACTCCCTGAAACTATTTGTACAGACTCATCAAAGTTAGCCTGTCTGTTTATTTTTCATCTAGTGCATGTGTTACATGTGTATGGTTAAGTTAAGGCTGACGGCACCTTTCCTCCCTTGTTGCTTCCAGATGGAGTGCTGGTATTGTGGCACTGTGTTCGGTGATTACTGACGGCAGCCGACTTTTCTCTGTGGGCGCTGGAGCCACGGCCAGACTGCTGCTTGGCTGTCTTACACGGTGTGCCATCAGAGTCCTGGAAATCCAAAGAAATGGATCATTTATAATTATTTGATAGATATTTTTAAGTAATATTTTTACTCGTGAAGCTTCAAGTGCTACAGATAAGTGCATACAGTAATATTTGAAAGGTGTGTGTGTGTGTGTATGTGATAGACTGACCGCATCGCTGGAACTGGAGGACGTTGAGGATGGTGACAGCAGAGAGGAGGAAGGAGAGGAGCGCAGTGAAGGGGATGGAGAAGAGGAGTTGGAAGAGTTTTTGCTGTGGGGGGTCGACGGTAGAACCACAACAACATCATCGTCGTCGTCGTCGTCATCGTCTGGAACGTTGTTGTTGCACTCATCGAGCTGCTGGGACTCAAATAGCGTGACGTCATTTCCTAAAGAGAACAGAGAAATGCACACAAACGAAGGGTCAGGTCGATTCACCAATGGCTGAGTTTTCCCCTACATTTGGGCAAAATGTTAGCTTCAAGCTGACTTGAAAAGATATTAGATGTTGGCATTTGAACTCACTGTTGAGTGGCAGGTCATTCTGGGACGGGCTGACCCAGTTTTTTCGGATCCATTCCCTGTATTCATCCACTTCCTGTGTCACCCGGATTATTCTGCCGAGTATGCTGCGATAGAAAAAAAAAGAGGAGGTACAACTGTAAACCTATAGTTTGTACAGGTATTATCTGCTTTGAAGAACAATGTGAAGGATCAAGCACTAATCCAAATCAGATGACATTTCAAGCCACAGCTCATTATCAGGCTCTTCTCTTGGGCTTGTAATTGACAGATTCTTTAATGAGCTCCTCACCTCTCAGTCTCATTATTGGGGTAGTACTTGGCGATGGGGGACACAGCGTGGCTGAGCACTACATAGGCATAGTCGAACGCCTGCTTCACCTGCATGGCACCATATGAACTCCGGCCAACATCGTTGTCTGTTGGACACAAGACAAACAGCCACATTGTGTGAGAAGCTGAAAAAAACAATAGAAGGCCAAATAAAAAATTATTTTGGCACAGTTCTTACCTGGCTGCAGTGGGTCCTCGATATAGAGCATGGAGGGCCTGTAGCCGTCCATCATATTCTTCTGAACCTCATCTTTGGCAACGTAGCAACCTCCATCTTTTATCCTGATGCCAGTCTTCAGATAGTTGAAGTGACGACCGTAGAGCTCGAAGAATTCGATGAGCAGAACACCGATGTTGATGTTGCGACTGCACACGTCCTCCCTGTAGTGGAGCTGGAAAAGAACACAGCAAGAGTGGATGTCAGAATCATCGTGGTGGGAAAGAGTGGGAATTTCAGTGTTTATGGGGTATTACTATTATGCTAAAATGATGGTCTTTACATTGTTAACATTCAGTATATGATATATATATATTATTATAGTATATTATAGTATATTATTTCATGTACATCTTAAAAAACATAAAGTTTTCTGTTTGGGCACTATATCCGTTATAGCTATGCAGAAATAAAACTGTGAATAAATAAGGCGATACCTACAATACTTAAACCAAGCTCTAAACACAAATGGTCAAAGTTGCTAAGTTGTCAAAATCATGAAGAGCTGTTGTGTGTCTGACCTGCAGGAAGCTGACAGCCATGAGGAACAGGCTGTAGGAACCGATTCCTCCAGTAAAAACTTCATTGAGGTCCCTCTGCAGTAGGAACTGCTTCAGCACCAGGACCAGGTAAGGCAGCACAGGGTATTTCTACAGGATCAAACACAGGCACATGAGGCACATAAGGAATAGATGTAGATGTCTACAGCACCCTCTAGAGGAAAACATCCAGAAATTGTAATGGCCAGAACCATTAATTACCAATATACTCTATGTAAGAACCTGGTATGTTGCAAAATCTTTTAGCTTTTCATACTTGTCAACAATGTTGTTCAAGTGTGTTATAAAATAAATTCTCTGAATATGACAAACAAAACATAGGATCTCCATTAAAACAGTGTTTTTGAATTAAATGAACTCCCTGTTGTGTTAAAAGTTAGTTTGAATGTGCTGCAAAATTACAGAACACTTACAACCCTTGTTTGTTTTTTAATGCTATAAGAAGGGCACCAATTAGATATTACAGTATAAGTCAGTCAAGCTACAATATTACCTATGAACATTTTGTTTACCATGGCTACGTATGCCAATGAAAATATGAATCTGATTCACATGCTCCTGAACACAGCAGTGTAGATTCCTGAATGTGTAAAACAAACCTCTTTAAATTCCTTGATGAGGCGAGCAGCCTTTACGCCACTCTTTACATTGAAGCTGATGTCCACTTTGACCTCAGTGAAAGAGTCTGTCAGTTTGATGATGGGAACCTGAAAACACATATTACACACATTAGAGAGGAAGAACGACAAACATGACACAGTGCTATAAAGCATTTGTAAGTAGATCTGCATCCATAATAGTGCTTTAAGCCTATTTTAAGTAAAGAACACACAATTCTACACAACCCGCATTTACTGATCAAATTGTTCTACTGCCTAATCCTTGAGCAAAGATTTAAAAGTGCTAATTTGCTCTATAAAATCCCAAACAAAAGTGAAACTTGAAACATAAAGACAAAAACAAAGCTTTAGGCAAATCCTATAATTTCCTAAATGAAATAAACTCAAAATGGTTGGAAAATCTCATCTATGCACAGTTGCAAAACAACACTAATCACTTACAGACGGTTGGGAGGGGTTTGAAAAACATGATAAGGAAGTGAAAAGGGATCTAAAGCAAAGAGCCGCTCACAAGCTCACTACATGATATGATTATGATGTCACTAACTCCAAAGTACAGTAAAACACAGTTGAGAGCAAATTATATATCCATGTAATATATAAGAGTTTTGGAGGGGCATTTCAACTTTATTTTCATAACAGCAGCGAAGAGATATGGGACATGGGAGAGAGCGGGGGATGACATGCAGTATAAGGCCAGAGTCAAACCAAGGGCGTGGTATGCATTCTACCAGTGGAGCTACTAGAGTGTCGCAGCAAAACATTTAAAAGCTGAGCAATGCACTCCAGCTAAGAAAATTATGTTTTTTGGAGCAATTATGAAGAAAAAAAAATTCACAAGACAATATATATGCACAACTAGACAGATACGCAGGTGAAGGTGACAACATTCCTACCGTAGCCTTGTCCAAAACTTTAATAGAGTTCTCATCTGCAACATTCTTCTTGCGCAGCGCCTCTTCCAGTGTCCAGAGCGGCAGCGTCTCCCACTTCCCAAAAACTACCAGGTCAATGTCACTGGTGGAAAAACATACAAGACAAATTACTTAAGTTACTCAAGACAAATTACAATGTTGGATCATAACTAGTTTCACTCACACAGCAACAGTTTGTAATGTTCCATGTGATAAGCACATGATTTATTAATGACATTTTCTATTATTTTGTTCAGATTAGGTTCAGTAAAAGTTTTTTTCCTCATGGTAGATCACTGACACACGTGACTTGACTGCCCTCTAGTGAGAAAGCAATGTGTACCTTAGGACAGAGCTTAACCTATAATTGTGTGTGTTAAAACACATGAGTGTAACATATTTATACAGTTATATCTTGTAACTGGAATATTAATAAATAACTCTTAGCGAGGAATTCCAAGAAAAAAAGAGACACAGAAACATCAACCAATGACATGCATGCATTCACAAAACAGATTAGTCCCATTAAAGTGCTCAGTACAGTGTCAAGAGTCCACTAATCCAGGTGACGTGTCTGTGTATGAGGAGGGTTTATTGTTGTGTGTTTCTTGGTTTATCAGCGGTCACAGGTCTCTCTAAGAATAATGTTTTTAAAAATGACTGATAGGTTCGAAAGAGAATTTTCTCCATGTAAGTGCACTGCAGTATATTTGAGTTTTTGATAGGGCAGCAGTCACAGTTTGGCAAAGAGAGAGAGGAAACTAAATGACTCACCTCGTTGGAAGGTAGAGACCGGTGCTGAAGCTCCCAAACACTTGGACCTGAGGGAGAGAATACACACAGTTACACCCTGTAGAATAAGCAAAAAGAAGTCTTACACTTTAATATTTTTTTAGACTACGACATGGGTGGAGTGCATCATCATGCAGGGTAGCTTTCTTAAGATTTCCCTCCACTATGCCGCACCAATATAAAAACCTGTTCTCCGAGATGCAAATGTAAGAATTCAGCCACAGGCGTGGTACACAAACCACTGATCAGCAGGAAAAAGAAAGTGAATTGAGTACATGGTATCAATGAAACAAGCTATTATTCCTTGTTTGTGTCTCACTGATGGATCACATGACTCAAATCTAACATGAAAGGATGTTTAGAGAGAAAATCCTTCCAGCCACTGATCTCAATTATCTGCATGCAACTGAAGTGACTTAAATATCCTCAACCTTCCACCTTTTAACGTCCCGCTGAGTATGTAAAAATCGGCGTCCAAACAGAAATAGACTTAAGCCTTGACCCTTCCTTAACTCTCCTACACCTTCTCCCTGTGTCCCACATCGAGCAGTCACATGTCCAGGGCTAAGCTGATTGTAGAGCCGTGTTTACGAATGAAAAGGAAATCCTGAACGCTTCTGTGAAAAGTGACTACTAAGTCAGACTTTTATTTGACCCATTCATTAAGTGTGGTCAATCACTGGCAGGCCATGAATATCTGAAAGGTCAAGAGTTTAAGTACGATGGTGAAGCTTTGATGAGACAGTTTACTGAGACAAGCTTCAATAAACCTGGAAAGCAGTAGTAGGCAGTAGTACCATTGGTGAGGGTTGTCTTGTCCAAACTCAATTAAACTAGAGACCATCTATGTGATAGAAATCTACAAGAAGCTATGGCATTCATCGACATACAGACATTCCAGCCATGATACTACCAGTACTATCTTATTAGATACAGTACTACCTTAATATCATCTTAGTTTTTTTCCAGTCTGAGTTTACAGGTGCATCCAATGGCACTGTTTGTTAAGTGTGTGTGTGTCAGTGTGTGCCTAAATTTCAGAGGGAGACAGAAAGAGAGAAAGCAGAGGATGGATGCAAGATTGTGAAGAAAGATTTTACCCATAAATAAAAGTATCAATCAATGATGTGGTGATTGGCTGACTCAGTGTCGGTGCGTCTCTGTGTGTCAGTGCTAGCAAGAGACAGAAAAAAGTGAACGTACTTCTACCAAATAGCCTTTCTTGACTTTATTGACGTTGGTTGCTCGTTCAAATGTATATTTGTAACTGTGTTTGGTCACATTTCCTGAATGACCACATTGCCGATGCTCAGTCCATGGTGGAAAAAGGAATAAAGCTGGCCAGCACTGGTACTGTGCTGTGCTCCTTAATTTAGGACCTGCAAAGCTTGGAGCAGGCACACATCGGAGCACACTGCTCTATCAGCACCATCAAAATCAGTGGGTGCACGAATGCCTGAGGTGGCACTGATTACCATGGCCCAAAAAGATTATTGTGCAGCAGTAAGATAACGGAAAAGGAATCTTGATGAAAGGCTGAAGCTTATAGCCATTATGTCAATATCACACACAACCTTGCTCTTATAATAACAGTGGTGCCTGAAAGTTGTAAATTATTGAACTCAACCAGGGCAAAAAATATTGTGTTCAGTGTGTATAGTTTACCATCTATTTCACAAATCCATTTCTGCCAAAACAAAATAACCTCCAGAGATGCATTGTGTTCCTCATCGCATAGCTTTCAGATTACAGGTAAGATTTGTGTTTTAGCAAATAGCTGGCGGCAATTCTCACCCCATTTATCAGGGGCACATTGAAAAATCAAGTCTGTCGCACCCTACTAATACATTTTTGGGTATGATGCGTACCTCAGCGCTGGGCCATAGGGCGTGAATGACGCCCTTTATTCTGTCCACTACCTCCAGCCTCATCTTCTCCTCCTCTGGTCGTGGGGAGATGTAGTCATAGAAATCATTGATCTCCTCGTTTAACCTGCACAACACAGAGAAGACAGTGTGGTGAGAGGAGAGGAAGGAAAAGACAAAAAAACAATAGGTCAGATTGTGTTACTGATATTGTTAACTATCTAAATAGATCATCCTTCCATTAGCTTAACAGGCTGTCCTATGAGGGTTGTGCAGGTCAGAAATTACCTGTGGGTAAAATGCAGAGAATTTGCCTTTCACACATGCACAGAGCGATCACAATAGCTGCAAATCCATTATTCAGGTGAGAGATGGAGCAGCTAGGTGAACACACAGACTCTGTGTCTCTTATCACCATTAACTCTCTTGACACCTACGTCTTGTCTTCTTCGTGTGTGTCACCACTTTTTCACCAGGAGATATTTGTTTTGTTTTTTTTTCATTTTTGAGTCTGTCGCGCATTAGAAGCGTCATCGTCAAGCGACAATTCTGGGTTATTGGGTACTGGTACCATGTACTGAGGTCTAGTCACAATCCATGTCCCACATTGATTTAAGCCAACAGACACAGGAACCATGTGTCTGAACAATATTGAACAATATTGGTTGCATGGAGACTGAGTACCAACAGCCAGAGCTACAGATGTCACACTGAGTCAGACTGACAGGCCACTGCTACTAGCTATCTTTTCTTTATACTTACACATCTACACACAAAACTACAGTTGCAGTAGCTTAGTTTAATCTGAAGTAAAGAAACTGCAGAAGAGCAATTTGGGGCCAAATTAGATCGTAGAAAAACCTTGTCATAGTACTTTATTAAGCAAGAGAAGACATGTTCTCTATCTCCTTTTGCTCTTTATCCCCCGTATCCTAAATAATCAAAGCTCATCACATAAATAACATACGTTTGGCGGTGGCGGTGTATTATCCAAAAGGTTTTTGAGATGTGTGGTGCCAATGGAAATTGTTGCTGCAAAAAAATAACTTTACTTTGCCCTCTGCAGTGATAGAGGCGTGTCAGTATTCCAGGCAGCTGAACTCACCATGTCTGCTGAAAAACAAATTGAAGACTTTTTTTTTTTTACTAAGCAAATCTGAGATATGGATATTATGTAACAGCAGAATGTGAAACAAGGTGTTGCCAAAGGTCAACCTTCCCTTGACAAATTTACACTAAAGGAGGGGGGGTGTCTCCAGAGGCTCTCTGAATACTTTCCTGTGGAGGTACAGGTAGATTCATGCCCATCAGTGAAATCACCGCCTGGTTGGAGTATTAGTTTGACTGATGTGTTCTGTCATGGTGATGTATGAGCCATTTATCAGGCTTCTCTTGGAGAAATTGGGCAATCACATTTTCTGATGTCTGCAGGTTATTTTCTGCAACTATGTAGATCAAGAAAAATATCCCTTCACGCAGCTATATGGCCTAGCCAATACTGATAGGGTTGTAAGTTAATAATTAAAAAACATGAGGGTCCAGGAAGACACCGAAAACTCAAAATGTCATCCCTAAAACAACTATTTCTTTTTGGTAAACTGTAGGGCAGAGCAAAAACAAAACAGCTGGGTCCCCTTGTAATGGCAGTATTAAAAAAAGAAAAGGGCAGGCCAAGTAAGAGAACCACATTTGTCCTTGGAACAGGTCACACTGCCCACACGCGCTGACTTTTTCACCGACCAGCTTGTCTACATACACATAGACCCTGGGACAAGTCTCTGTGGGCAGACAAATAAGAGCACAGGCACACACATGCACATGTACACAAACAGCCATGTAATCCCAGATTAGGCCAGTAACAATCTTATTCCCCCTGGCAAATTAAAGAGAGAATTAAAGAGATACTTCTACTTTTTTAATAAATAAAGTAAGGCAACATACCGCTTGCAGAAAGTTAGACAAGAAAAACACTTGCAGCTACTAACAATGACCGACTGTTGTTTGGACTACGCCCCAGTATGAGTACTGCGTGTGCGTGCGTCTGGGTTTTAAATAACAAACACTCTTGACCTACCTGGAACGGGTTAAATCTGGATTATTTCGACACCGTGTATGGTAAATACTTGCAGCAAGATAATCTTGTCCATGGTCAAAAACTGATTATTTAACAATTATTTGAATTGTTATTATTATTGTTGATCAATGTGACAAATTGTTTCCTGATCACTTCTACAAATAACCAGAAAGTAATGAAAAATGCCCCTTGTCTTATTACAAGACAAATGTTATAAAATATTTGTCTTTTTGCTTGAAAACAAAAGGCTGCTAAAATTGTTACCTATGAATCTCCCGTCGATCTACTAATCATTACAGCTTCTCACAACACTGACAGAAGTCACTTTTGACCAATGGCCGATGCATTCAGGGTGTGCCAAGACAGCGGTTTCATTGAGGGGGTGTATTAAATGCATCTCTATTGTTGGTGTGAATGTGGCCCAGCCGACTGCTAACAAGTTTGAATGCGCTAGATGTAAACGCAGGTTGATTCTTAAAATGATGACGAACAGATGACTGAAACATTTCAGAGGAAACAGCTGTTCATTGCGTACAGTCCACGACTACACAACATATGTTGCACAATGTATCAGAACTCTCCCTCCAAGTGTAAGCAGGTTTTTTTAACAAACACATCTGTCACACAGAAACATTCATTAAATGATTTAGTGCTTTTTATCTTGGGGAAATCTTCGGAGTGCTGACCACAAATAAATAAAGACGTGAAGTGAATTGAATGATTTCATTTCATTGACTAACTTTGCTCAGACCATGACAGAAGGCCAGTGCAAACTGAGTCTCTGTGTTATGGTTGTTTGTGCATTTGTTACATCACAAAATGCTTTGAGTGGTAATCTCACATTACATGAAGCATCTTCAGACCTGAAAGTCTGAACCCAGGTTCATGTCTTTGTTACATAGTATACTAATAATTTGATAAGAATTTTGTATGACATTCACACGTCCTGTTACATTCAAAAAATGTCTCCCCATACTTGATTGACACAGCTCCTGGTAGGATATCAGAGGACATTTTGGCTGACGCCGTTTCGAACTGGATTTGAATGTCTGGGTTTACGGACACTTGGATGACACCACAGAAGCAGCATGGAGGCATGTTATGTTTTTTTTCTGTTTGAAGAATCTACATACACTTCAATTGTATTGGATTTGGCTGCAACGCTGTTTTCCCCTGAAACTCCATCTGAGTGAATTTTTAATTTTTAGGTGAACTATCCCTTTAAGATACAGACCAAACAAGGCTGACAATGACATGCCTTGAATGTCCCACCCACACTAGTTTGCCTCGGATGATAGATTTACAAGAGTACCACAATTATCCATGACTAAATATTTTTTTTGTTTCTTTCTTCTCAAGGATGGGGAGGAAAAATGTTTTCGTTTGTATTTGTTGTCACTCATCCAACACAGCAGCTGACAACTGCTCCAAGCCTCCTTTTGCACACAGCAGAGACTCCAGCTCTCCAACAAAACATTAGGTTTCATTTAAGAGTAACAGAAACTCAGGAGCTAAATCTGTATTACAAACACATTAGTCATAATTTCATGGTCGAAGGAACATAATTCTCTGTGAACTACTATTTAAATCCATTTCATTTGCTGTAATTGAACTGAGGGATTTTAGACAGTCATGACCCCATTTGAGAGAGAAGAGTATCCCTCCTCCACAACAGCAACCCCTAGGTTTCATTTCACAGAAAACAGCCCACTGGTGCTCCCTTGTCATCATATGATGAAATATCTTATGCCCCACCTTTTTTGGATCTAATAAAGTCTCAGTCTTGGGCCTGCCTTGGAAGCACATGTACCCTTGGCACAATCAGATTATCCCACTTGCATGCATTGTAGTAATGTTATGTAATCTTGTGGAACAGGTTTCAGGAGAACTCTGAAAAAAAACACTATCTCTGCTTAAGCACTGCTACTTTCCCAACATTTCCCTCTGACATGATTACTGGAATGATCCCAGTGATGATATTTGCTGGTGATCTTGCAGATAATTCCTGCTGCACACAAGATTTTCTAATCTTAACTGATTTTAAAAAACGTGGGAGACCACAGACATAATGACAGATGTATCTATTTTTTAATCTTTTAATCCTGAGAACTGGTACAGGAAAAAAAATCGTATTTAATCTGTAGGCAGCATGTTTCGGCTCTAAACACAAGTATGCAAAGTCCGGTGGGTGGCGCTTCCTGATCAGCTCGCTGTCATTGCCTATTGCACTTTTTGCCCAATCGCTGTTTCTGTTATACCGCACAAGAGGCTCCGATCTAGTCGGTGACATTAAGATTATGTCTGTTAAGTACAGGATTGTTTGGCCAGATAATTTTCCAGATGAGGAACAGGTGATTAAGGGGTGCTATGAAAGAGAAAATAGTGTCAGTAGGGTTTAATCCGTTTCGTAATTAATAGTTGCAGCACTGTGACCAAGGCTGAATGAGAGAGTTGTGTATTATCAGACAGCATTATGCATTCATTATATACCTCATCATATAAAAACACAATCAGCTCATTATTTGCTGTAACTCGAAACCACAGTACACAACTGAGTTCAAAGCAATCATATTTTTAATATGCTAATCTTAGATGAATAAAGAAGTCATGTCTTTTCTTACTATTTAGCCGAGTTGGCCTCTACTCTTTGAGTTCATGCTTTTTTTCAACCGTATGAAGTATTTCATGAAATAGTGTGTTACAATGAGCCACAGGAGGAAGCTTGACATTCCTACTGAGCCACCTCATGAAGGCACTCTGAGAGGCAGAATTTGGCCTCCAGGCGGCTGAACAGAGGAGGAATGGGAATGTGGTATAAAAGAGAAAATTTGAGCATATGTGCCAGGGGGAGAAAGCTGAGTAAAGTTTGAGAGAAATGAAAGAAGATCGGGGACCAGACTCGATCATGAGGTGAAACAGAAAAATGGAGAGTGAGGGAGGAAGAGGACTGGGTGTGGTGCTGAAATGCCTTCATGTGAACGAGAGCCATCTGTTAAGTTGGGCAGGATGAAGGAGAGAGAGGTTGCAGTCACATTGCACTGAGCACCACTCGC